GTCTCCAGTACTGTGTACAATACTCCAAGTGAGGTCTCACCAGTGTTTCTGTACAATGGCATGAACACTTCCCTCTTTCTACTGCTAATACCTCTCCCTATACAACCAAGCATTCTGCTAGCATTTCCTGCTGTTCTATTACATTGTCTGCCTACCTTTAAGTCATCAGAAATAATCACCCCTAAATCCCTTTCCTCATATGTTGAGGTTAGGACTCTATCAAATATTCTGTACTCTGCCCTTGGGTTTTTACGTCCAAGATGCATTATCTTGCACTTATCCACATTAAATGTCAGTTGCCACAATTCTGACCATTTTTCTAGTTTACCTAAATCATTTGCCATTTGGCTTATCCCTCCTGGAACATCAACCCTGTTACATATCTTAGTATCATCAGCAAAAAGACATACCTTACCATCAAGACCTTCTGCAATATCCTAATAAAAATATTAAAGAGAATGGGTCCAAGTACAGATCCCTGAGGTACCCCACTGGTGACAAGTCCAAGCTTCGAATATATTCCATTAACTACAACCCTCTGTTGCCTGCGACTCAGCCACTGCCTTACCCATTCAACAATATTGGAATCCAAACTTAAAGATTGCAGTTTATTGATAAGCCTTCTATGTGCAACAGTGTCAAAAGCCTTACTGAAATCTAGGTATGTCTACTGCACCACCCTGATCTATTATTTTAGTTACCCAATCAAAAAAATCAATAAGATTAGTTTGGCATGATCTCCCTGAAGTAGACCAATGTTGTCTCTGATCTTGAAATCCATGTGTTTTTAGATGTTCATCAATCCTATCCTTTAACATGGTTTCAATTACTTTCCCCACTACTGAAGTAAGGCTTACTGGCCTATAGTTGCCCGACTCCTCCCTACTACCTTTCTTGTAAATGGGCACAACATTCGCTAACTTCCAATCTTCTGGGACTACTCCTGTTAACAATGATTGGTTTAATAAATCTGTTAATGGTTTTGCTAGTACACCACTAAGCTCTTTTAATAGCTTTGGGTGTATTCCATCAGGTCCCATTGACTTATTTGTCTTTACTTTTGACAGTTGAAATAGAACCTCTTCCTCTGTAAACTCACGTGTAATAAATGACTCATTTATCCTTTTTCTCAACTGAGGTCCCTTTCCTTCATTTTTATCTGTAAATACAGAACAAAAATATTAATTGAGGCAGTCGGCTAGACCTTTATCCTCTTCTACATACCTTCCTTCTTTTGTTTTTAATCTAACTAATCCTTGTTTTACTTTTCTTTTCTCATTTATGTATGTACAATATATTAGGGGGGAATTGACTGAATATTTTCATTATAATACAGACATTACAGTCTGGTCTGCCCATAAGGCAGTGATACGGGGTCTTTTCTTAAAGAGACCATCTTTCTTTAAATGCCAACATCAAATCAAACCTTTAAAGTGTTATCAAGAACTAGCATTCCTCTCAAAATATCTTGCTGATGGAAAGAACTCAATAATAGAGTACATTTTAGGAGATCAGGGCCAAAAATATATTGCCCCTATGATATTTGTCAGGAGTTTACCAAATGTTATGTCAAGCTTTATAACTTAAATAAAGATACAACTATTCATACTATATAACGGGATATCTCAAATCTGCTTCCCTACCAAAACTTACTCCTGATAGAATAAGTCATCTCTTTTAACCTATAATATTATCTGAAATTCAACAAGCCATTACACAATTGCCAGTTGGCAAATCACGGCAATAGATGGACTAACCAATCTTTATTATAAAACATTTTATGAAGTTATAGCCCCAGACCCTTTAAAAGTATATAGGGAAGCATCTGGGACAAGCATATTGCCTCCGGAAATGTTGATAGCTACTATAGTGACCATACCCAAACCCGATAAAACACCAGATCTCTGTAAAAATTATCAACCTATTTCACTCTTAAATACAGATGCTAAAATGTATGCAAAAATATTAGCTAATAGGTTGAAATTTATCATACCCCATCTTATACATGATGACCAAACAGGATTTGTATCAGGAAGGCAAGGACCGGATAATACTTATAAACTAACAATGGTGTTACAGAAATTGAAGGTTCAAGCCAAGGAGGTATATTGCTAGCTTTAGATGCTGAAAAAGCATTTGACCGACTTGGCTGGACCTTCCTCGAGCAGGTTTTAAAATCCTATAAGTTCTCTCCTTTAGTAATTAGACAAATATTTGCTTTATATTCTTCGCCCTCGGCCCAAGTATTGCAGTCAGGATTTGTTTCTGATATTTTTCAAAATACCAACAGGACAAGGCAGGGGTGTCCCCTGTCCCCCTTATTATACGTGCCTGCACTTGGACCATTGTTGTATTATGTTAGAGAACATCCTAGCATACACGGGATACAAATGGGAGACCAAAATGTTACAATCAGCGCATTTGCTGACAATATTCTTCTTTGTATTACAAATCCACAGGAGTCATTATCCCTACTCTCTCATTATATTTTCCTTTGGATTATTTATATATAGCAAAGTATACTACTCTCTGGAATAAATGTAAGCAACTTTTACAACAATGGTCCAAACTGTACTTAACATGGTCAGATTGAATAGCTGCATTTACGATGTCTATATTACCGAGACTTCAATATTTGTTTTGTACACTTAGTCTACCTTTTTTGGGCAAGAGGTAAATCTCGAGTTATGGGGAGACTATTACAAGCTCCAAAAAAAAATTAAATGTAAAAATGGGAGGTTTCGCTTTACCAAATATACAATTGTATTATCATGCAGCCATCCTAGCGATTGCTATACCCCACTTTCTTAAAAATATGAAACCACAATGGGTGACTTTAGAAGCAGAAGCAGACATATTAGAAGGGCATAGTATAACTAATATACTTTGGGTACCTCAGAAATTGAGACCTAAAATCCGTTTGTCTCCCCAAATTCAATTACTGATACAGATTAGAGATAAATATAGACACAAGACGAGCATTTCGACAGTCTTTTCCTTAGCAACTCCAATAATGGCACTTCCCTATTTTTACCTACATTTAATGCATCCCCATGCTAGGAAAGAGGGGGTCGGGGGGTGGGGTTACACATCTTTACCACTTATTCAATCAAAATAATTGTTAATATACTGCACTTACAGCTAAATACTCTTTACCAGATTCTTCCTTCCATTCTTATCTGAAAAAGATCTTCAGTGCATAATAACCAAAGAACAATGGGAACGAGCTATTTCAGCCCGTATTGGAATAATAAAACCTGCTGCACATCTAGAACAGTAAATAGCAAAATACTCTACAGGGGGTACTTGGTACTGGCTAGATTGCATAGGATTCCCCCAAGCAGTTCCACGATTTGTTGGCGATGTAGTTAAAGCCATAGGTACAATGCTCCATATATGGTGGACATGTGACCTTATGAAGCAATACTGGAAAGAGAAACATATATTAAAAATATTACGGGATGTCATTTGGATTTTTTTTTTTACCCACTACATATCTATTGCTTATATTTCCAGAGCGAATCCCACGTTATAAAGTAAAAATTATTATTCAAATTACTCTCACAGCTCAGCTAAATATTGCAAGAAAATAGAAATCCCAGATACCTCCAAGCCTAATAAATGTTTTGGCAGATCGAAATAAACAAAATAGCTATGAAAAAACATATACATTTCTCCCCCCCTCCCCCCCCGTAACGTATACGAAAGCATGGGAACTATGGAAACTGGCAAATTCATATTTGCAATGGGATAGGTTAAAATCTCATACAATAAAATTATATATATATATGACGTGCTTCCACTAATGGAAATATTTGTCTAGTATAGTGTCTATTATTATCATTCTTTTATAAAATAATAAACATTTTCAAATATAAAAAAATAAATATATATATATATATATATATATATATATATATATATACACTGTAGAACGGACCCCCAGGCGCAGGCTGTGGGGGGAAGCCAGTTGTCTGTCTCTGTGTTATGGTTTATTGTCTGTTTCAGGTTATCCAGGGATTGTCAGAGTTGGACTCGATATGGACAGCACTCAGTCATTGGGTGAGTGGATAATATGATTTATGATTAAAGGAGCACAACATGGTCAGGAACGCAAACATGTATTCCTGACCCTATAGTGTTAAAACCACCATCCAGCCTCCCCTGGTCCCCCCATGCCTCCCTAAATATAGTAAAATCTTAACTTCATTCCAGTCTGCAGCTGCTGCCACTGCCCCTGCCCCTAAC